TTTAACGTTTCCCTTGACAATGCCTGTAAACTAGCATTAAATAAAATCATCATCAGCATCATCATCATCATCATCATCATCATCATCATCATCATCATCATCATCATCATCATCATCATCAGTTATCTGCACAGTTTTGGATAACACATCCACAACCGTCCGGTGTTTTCATTACCAAATTTTTCATACACTTCCCTTCACTGTAAAAAAACAGAGAGTACAAAGGTGCAGCATCTGTATTTCCCCAAATAAACTGAACTTAACATAACAAACCCCAGGGTTTTGCAATGCCTGGGGCTTGGACCCACTATCTGCTTGTTTCAAATGCAACGTTTTAACCATCAAGCCACAGGCCCGTTTTCCAGTTGTTTTCGAGTCTCTTGGCTCGAAAAAACCTGGGATTGAGCCTGACAGGAAGATGACGACTAATTAGTTGGAAATAGCCGTCTCAGTTTACTTTTATTATTCGACGGTTATATACTGCCTTTAATACTATCCACTAAGCGGCTGCTGGCTGGGCTTGAGATTAATCCCCTAGTTAGACCGGACGAGTTTGGCCCGTTAAACGATTGTTGTACTTCCCTCTCTTATATACATGTGTCCGTGAACGACTGTTTTGAATGCCCAAACTGCGAGAAGCTAATGTTTGCCGATGGACTTAACTTGCGGAAGTCAATGGAAAAGGCAGAATATAAGCTACGAGTACAAAATAACTTGGATTTCTTGGAACAGCTGTGTGACAAGTTAATCCCTTATCTAAATATTATAACAGATATTGAAGTATTTGACTACGGTCTGTCAACACGAGGACAATGACTTCTGAATTTCACCGCTCGCACTTGCCGAGTAGAGAAGGCTCCTTGTGTTAGTGGATCAAAGACGAGTTAGAATATCCTAGGGGCGATCAGGAGACTTCTGCTCAGTTTTGATAAAGTATTTTGGGTCGACTGTTTGGAGCATTTTCTCGGTCAATCTTAACGTTGTCTTCAGGCGTGACGTTCGGAGATCAAACAGGATTAAGCTGTTTTGGCGAGCGTAAAACGAGAATCAACCAAACCAGTCGGCAAGATTAGATGCCAACATTAAAAGTGACGGCTTTATGACTTGGAATTTTTATTGACGTTACGGACACTTCAGAGAGAATATGCTCCTGCTTTGGGAATCACCCTAGAGTTAGACTGCGTTTTTAAGTTTAGTAAATTCTTAACCTGACTCGAGCGGCACAGCATCAAGGCAGCCAATTACATTGGAAGCAAGCTGGTCAAACTTGGACTGCGTGCCAAATTTTTTCGTCCTCCGAGTGTTTGAAAAATTGGACAAGCTGCCAAATTCGGTTGTATTGACGGGAAACGGTAACACTTTCAAAGGAAACCCGGATAAACCTACATTTATTTACCATGTATTTGCTGGTTATCAATGACTTTTGTAATGTGTCCCAGCTGTTACGTAAAGATGGGACACTTTTTTCTGGATATCTCTAAATAAAGCGTTGAATATCTTATTTGTAAATATCGACTTATATATAATTTACTCGTCTAGAAGTCGGCACCATATACCGTTTCATTCAGAAACACGTATAGGTAAATGATGACAGCGTGGATGCATCCTCTTCTCCTTAGAATGTAAAGAATAGGTTTATTATAGCGCATCTTGGGGCCTGTCAGTCTCCTTCGCACGCATCGAAAAACGGGAGAAGATGTTGGATATAATATTGTGCTCTATGCAAGTCCACAGGACCAGAAGATTATTACTATCGCAGCCTCCGATCCTGTGGTAGCCGAGCATTCCCCCCCCCATTTTCTACTTTTAAGGTTTTTTCCGATGCTACATGATGTGAAGGTACCTAATCAGCCAACCTCGTCAGTTGCCGTGGTGCGGGTGCCGCGATGGGCACAACTTGGTGGGGCCTCTGATGAGAGCTGTGCGACAAAACGATGCAAAACACAGGTGCCCATCGCGTCCTTTGTATATTTGACGAGATTATCATTGTTCTGCATGTATGACTTGCTAACGTTGTGACTGTGCCTGTGCTCACAGGCTCAGGTGATATCGCCTCCTCCGCAACTTCGTGCGTATGAACTTTTGGTCGTTTATCTGTGAGAGAGCATGTCCGTCAGTGTATAGTTATTCACCGTCCATCTGCCCGCATCAACGAACCCGCAGCGACAGCATCGCTACGATGAAGGTCCATACCCAATATATCGCGCGGGCACACCTGTCTAATACGTACGCGTATGGGAGGTACTTGCAGCAGGTAACAGTTTGATTTGAGTGATTTATCTTGCCTGTAAAACTATAACGATCATTCTTCTTAGACACTTTTGCTGCCTTCCGAGCACTACGATATTTGACTCTCTCAATAAGTTTTAATGGAAGACTGCGTCGAAATATCTGTTGTTTTAAGAAGAAATTCCGATCAGAAAATAAGTCTGAAAAGCATACCCCGCTCGTAGTGTAGATTCCCTGACGTTCATGCCATGGGTACTCAGAGGTAAGATCCGCGCCTGAGGTCCGGTCGAGAAAGGTAATAGGATGACTGTATCCATCAGAATGAAAAATATTTCTTGTGTGCAAGTCACTACCTTGCGTCCCTAGAACTGCAGTCCATGATAACAGAACTTCACATGTACTAGAGCTTGCGTCCTCTTTCATCCCCGATTTCTATCTCGTCGTCTCCTACTTCCCTTAACCTCTTCATCCCATTTTCCCCGAATTCATGGTGTTACTTCCCCAAATCCCTCATAACTCTTTTAAGTGTTCAATACTAACTTGGTGTTTCTGAAATCAGATCCAAATGACTTCCGAAAATCGGTGACGTGGGCGGTTGTCTCGCACAGAAAGTCTTCAGAGTTCCAAACATTCCCTTTGGTCCGGTTTTGACACTTTCGTTTACTGATAAATAATTTATGTACTTTTTATTTTGATGCAACCTTCTCTTCCATCGCCGCATACCCCGCTGTACACTGTACTAGACGCTCCTCCGACACTTTTTACTCACTCGGCTCCTTACGCACTAACGACTGTCTCTATCCGCGTTCCAATACAAAATGTTTTTAATCTCAGCTATCGCATGTCTCCCTCATGAGCATTAAGATAAATTAGAATAGAGCGAGGTCCGCCTCACCCCAAAGATCATTGATCCTTCATTTCGGCCTAACTGATTAATAACCGTGCAAGTTTCTGCAGCATGAACGGCGTGGGTGCGCTTCTTTTGTAGATAAAACTGTGAAAACATCCACAAAATTAAGTCATTTCTGTAATTTATTTTCTGGTGGGAGAGATGCCCATGTTTGGACTGGACCCTTGATGAAATCCACGTGTTTGGCTCACTGTTTGCCTTTATCCGCCCGCAACCGGATGTCGGGACCAACAACTGAAATTTCAGCAGGTGGCCCAGTTTAACCCTATATAACTCGAGACAAATAACTTGGAATTCTATGTATTGGGGTTTCCACAATGCCCCGGACGTTAATGTCACGAGCCTCTGAGCTCATGCAAAAATAACCCCAGTCATACGAGTCATAATAGCGCCAACTAATTAGCATTCATTTTGATGTACGTGATTTTAAGGTCATTTAATTGTTTTAGTATATCGAAGGCTGGATTCCCCTTTAAATACTATGCCTTAGTGCAACATGCTTGTTTTCTGTATTTTTTATCTCGCCTTGGCAGGGAGACGATTGTTTCTCGTGACAGATCGTATGAGGCGACTAAGGCGTTCATTAAATTCGGTTGACGCTATACGAGACCACGTTGACTTTCCTCCTTCATCTCCCGTTTTCTTTGAGTCCTCGGACCTCATTAGACTATTCAAGAATGTGCTCTTTCGCCGACCGTTCAAAGGCCATTGTAAATTTTTGTCAGCCAACGATATACCGTCCGAGGGTCTAGAACCGTTTATTATTTATGGTTACCGCCCACCGTCATCATGGATACAGTGCGTGTCGTCCCTCTTCTACCTTCACAACGAGTCTTTCAATGCCTGGACACACATCCTTCCGATTCCCGTATTCTTGTACATATTTCTTTCAGAAATCTTTTTCGGGACACCGAATATTGCAATGTCTGTCTATTTGTTCTCTGTGCTGTGTTTTCTCGCGGGCAGCAGTTTCGCCCATACATTTTGTTGCCAAACCAGCATATCCAAAGATGCCTTCTTCATAGTTGACTACATTGGCCTCGGTATCTTCTCACATGGATCAGCTATAGCCTACGTTGCATTTGCAATGCCCTTGGAGTTCCATTCGTTAAGTTGCCTTCCCATTACATCACCAACTGTCTTATTTATGACGTTGTCATGTGTTCTGTCAATGTGGGGGGTTTTTCAGTCGACACGGACGAGGAAAATGCCACCTTCTTTTTCCCGTCATATTTTACGCCTTGGCGCTTTTGCTGTTCCAGGAATGTTGGTTTCTTTGCCGGTTTTATTCAAGGTTTACAAGTGCCACATCCCCACGCAGTATCCAAATGGTTACTGCGAATCCTCTGTTTTGTGGTCTCTTCAGATGCTTTCATGTTGTACAGCGATTGCGTTTTACCTTTCGAGGGTCCCCGAGAGATTTTATCCCGGAAAGTTTGATCTACTTGGGCATAGCCATAACTTTTTCCACCTATTTTCATTATTTGGCCTCTACTATCAGTATCAAGCTATTTCGTTAGACATGCGCTTTCACAGCTCCTTATCCAATGCACCATCTTTGCATACTGTGCCAATTATCAGCATATTATTGGTGTGCCTTATGAGTTTTTATACGGTTTTTTATTTCCGAGATTTATTATTTAAAGAAAAACCAAAGAAAGTTTGACCATTTTTATTTCGCGATGCCCGTTGTTGTCTTGTATTTTCACCAGAATAACTTGTTTGGTACATCGGCCAACTTGTCCACCATATTCACGATAAGCAGATAATGAAACATAAGATCCGTGATACAAACTAAAATGCCATGAAAATCTCGGCTGTATTAGGGGTGTACGAATGACTGACGTGGTAGTATAGGATAGGGTGGCCGTATTTTCCCTGAAAATCCCTCTTTCTGCCCCTCATCCTCCGCCTCCTTCTCTTGCACAAACACTACCATCACTCACCCTTATTCTTATCCTAATTTGCTCTCCACCTGAAAACCCATTCGCATGATCTTTGAGCTGCTATTTACCTTGAGTACTTGAAACACGCTGCCGGGACCTATGGGGTGCAAACCAATCGGAGTTGCAAACTGAGGGCATATAACAGCCCTCAGCGTTAGAGCCTGTTATACACTTTTATCAGAGGCCAGAAGTGCGTCCAACTTACGAGCCGAATGTATGATCGCTCTTTTTCTCTGTCATGTCACGCCGTTACTAACAGAGTATATCGAGATTAGAAAATGCCCTATAATTCGTCCCCGATACGCCGTCAGGTTTTGTATGGTAAGTGGGATGGCAACATTAAACACTGCTTTGAGGTTGGACCTGCAACTATCAATGATTGGGACGATTCGACACCTTCGGTGAGGCCGGTGACTGGGAAACACAAGGTCCTTTGACGTTTGGGGACTACCACGAACCAAATATGTGAAAACGAAGTAAGTAGGCAATTTTTCTCTATGCAGCAGTGCTGTTACCTAGGTAATAAGTCGCTTATTCGGCCGATCAGCAGCATTTAAGATGATGATGAATCAAGTCTTCATCATGTTATGGGGACTGTTTCCTCCCAATAGTTTGCGTAGTCTCTGTTGGGGGTTACCACCATCTTGTTGGAGACATGTGCGCTAAGTACACAGTTTTTGACAGCAAGTAAAGGTTGGGGTGACTGGAGATGGGTGTTGACACGATGGCTGACGTGGCTAACCCACCGTTTGCGTTTCCCACGTACGCGATGCTTCCTACACACACAAACCCAACGTTACAGAGGTCCTCGGGTTTTTTGATGAGCTTAATTGCTTTAATGTCCACTTCGAGAATGGAACAATTACCAGAGTTCCAGGGGCCGGCTGAACGTTAGGAGTATGCATTGATTTGCTTGCGCTGTCAGTTTCTTACTAGACTGTCGTTAGAGATAAGAAAACAGAAATAAAAAGCTTGGAATGTGTGAGGCCAAGTCACCATTAGGTCCCGTAAGTCTGGCGGTGACTGAGCAGCACACTACGTGGGCAGTAGATCGGTATCTACCACCGTGTTTTTTATTAGAATTGCAAACTCCCATTGGTTCTCCTGTAATGACCTTTAGAGAGTGCCCACCCTCCGTAGATACGGTGATATTGTTAGCCGGTTGTTTTAGGAACCTGACGTTTACTTTGTCAGTAAACTGGTTTTCGGTCATAATAGCCATGGTGAAAATACTGCCAAAAGTCTGTTGTTGTTTATCCGATGTCGTCTTTACCGACTGCTACTTGTCAATAACGCGAATGCTGGAATAACTACTGATTTTGCGTTGTAGCACCCTTACAATCTTCACTATTGTGGGGCTTTGATTCTACTAAATGTCTTCTTGTCCCCACCTTCTCTCACCTGACTCTGGCTTACTTCTGAGCGGCCTTCCCTTTTTGGTCGGTCTGTCGCTGTAGGTTTCTTTTAGGGGATTTCATTCCGATTAGCAGACAAGGGAACCGTGGCAACCTCGGTCATCTCTTTCCTCACCCATCACTACTAATGCCGTTTGGGCACCTTTATATGACAAACTACTGATAACAAACACACTGCAAGTATTTCTTACACAAAGTCACCTACATACCCACCCAATGGGTCAGGATTTAAACCGCTCGTCATTTGCGGCGGAGGCCTATTTGTAAGCGGCCAATTGACTCCGAAGGTGAATATGGCTTCGACTTGGGACTTAGGAGACTTGTTTGTTGTTTCCCTTGCTGAATTGGCTTCGGGCGCCTTTCTATGGCTCACTGAAATCTACTTTTTGCCGAGGTCTAGTTTGTAAAAGCTTAGATATATGTTACATTCGATAAATACTGTCGTGGCGTTGCTAGCTACCACTATTTGAGTGGGAATTTTCCGTCGAATATTTCGCGGAATATCTTTCTGCCGGGCGTTTTTGCATGCCTATCGGTCTCAACTCCCGTTCTATTGGTCCATTCTATGCACATCTCGCTCGTTGTAAAATATTTTTTCTTAGAGTGCGGCATGCAACTTTGTGCGCCTTTAGCTCACCTGTCCTCTTTTGAGGTATAAGAAGGGCTCGCTGGAACAGATTTATTTGTTGACTCACCGTTATGAAAACGCTAAATGCCTTTTATCGAAGTGGAGCGCCGTTCTTTTTGTCACGTTTTTTCTTCTGGAGGATGTTAGGCGGGACTTTGAGCTGCGTGCTTTATGAGTCATCACCCCGACGAGAGTGGTTGTGCCTCTGCAGGCTTTGTTCGGTCTGGCGGCTCTTTGCCAATCTATGCACTCCCGGCCTAAGCTATGTCCCTCAGAGGGATCCCAGTCATAAAATTTCGATTGGTGACAGAACATCTGACCTCTTTATTTTTACCAAATCTCTGATTCCTCTTGTCCCCGAGGCATCACCTGTCCTAAAGCCACCCGAACATTTTAGCCGATGAACTTCACTCGAAGGATGGTCTTCAAGCAGTGGTGATCAAATACCTCCAGTTTTCGCTCGTCCTCCACGCGCAAAGCCCAGCATTCACAGCCGTAGAGAAGGACGGACCGGACAGATGCACGATACACGCGAATCTTAGTGGCGATGGAGTGGTCGCGTCGGACCCATAGGCATTTCCGAAGGCTTGAGAAAACCCAGCGGGCAGCATCGATTCGGGAGACAATGTCTTCCTTACTCTGTCCATTAGGCAGCAGCCTCGCCCCGATGTATTTAAAACTGTCTACTTCTGCAAGTTGACAGCCATCAATCCCCAGGGGTGCCCTCTCCTGGTCAGGGATGCAGCTTAAAAACACTTTGATCTTCCCAGCGTTTATGGACAAACCGACTGGTTTAGCGACCTCGTTCACCCGCGACACCATAGACTGCAGATCACCAAAACGTGAAGCAAGTAAGGCGATATCATCGGCATAGTCGAGATCAGTCAGTCGATGTCCGGGTGCAAATTCAACGCCGTCACTGTCGCGAGGGCCCTCCTGAGGATCCAGTAAATAGCGTAGTTGAACAGTATGGGTGACAGGATACAACACTGTCGGACGCCAGACCGAATACCGAACGGTTGGGAAAGATTGTTACGGACCAGGACTCTCGCAGTAGTGGAACGATAGTAGGCCTTGATCATGGCGATGATTTTTGCCGGTACACCATCTAGCGCCACTATCCACCACAGGGACTCACGATGGACGGAATCGAACGCGGCGGCAAAGTCAACGAAGCAGACGGCCGTCGGTTGTTGGTAGCTATGGCCAAACTCTGGAATGCACCTCAGGGTGAATACCTGGTCTGCGCATCCACTTCCAGCACGAAATCCGGCTGGGTTGGGCCTCGTCTTTGAGTCACGCACAGCCTGGAATCGCCTGAGTAGGAAAATAGCGAAAATCTTCGCCGCAACGTCGATGAGTCTTATGTCCCGGTAGTTCTCGCATCTCGTCCTATCTCCCTTCTTGAGGATAAGTACAAGAATGCATAAGCCCCAGTCATTAGGAACAACCTCGTCTCTCCACGCTCGTTCAGGGCGTCAGAGTGTCGGCATAAGGCTTGAAGATTTCAGCGGGTATACCGTCCCCTCCGGGTGCCTTATTGTTGCGTAATTTTCTATTGTGTGTCAAAGGAACTAATTTATAAAACCAGATCATCATATGTTCGCGAGTTGTCAGTATTTGCATGAAGGATGAAGAGGTCCGATCTTTTAGTCTCGAACTACGTTGACTGCGACAAACCGCCATCTGTGAAAGTTACTCTATCCCAGTTACATATTAATCGTTCGACGCTCCAAATGCATCACGTGTCCCTTTGAAAGTGAATTTTAAATTTCGCTCGAATTATCTATTAGGCTCGTGCTGGCACTACTCAGGTTCGTTCCCTTTCCACTTTAAGGTTTGATTTCCGTTCTGACAGAAGCCTAGAAAGCGCAGTGTAAAACACGTTGTTTGTTTTTGTGCATTGTGCCAAGACATATCGCAGAAAGTCGAATTTTCTGGCAAAAAGGATTTGTCATTCCACGTTACTAGGGCTCCAACTGATCTTTCGGGATAATGCATAGCAGCATCCGAGTCCACGTACAGCCACAGATGCGCCAATGATTTATATTTTTAAAGTCTGGGGCTCCAAAGTTGCAAATGGAGTACTGGGGAATTTCCGCAGCATGCAACAACATTTTTCACTTTTGTCCCCTCAAGAAGGCGAATACTATGGAGTTCGACGTCTTAACGCATTTGGGTCTGCCCCATAGTGAATGAGAAGAACCGTAAGTTAGTCGACTGTGGGAATGGGTCATAGACCGTCTGAAATAATCATATCAACAATCAACTCTTTACCGGTCCTTGCCTGATATGTATCCTCTGTTGGCGTGTGGGACCCGAAGTGTGTGTGGAGCAAAGGCTAATTAAAACGGATAGTAGCACTGCCACGTAGTAACCTATATTGGACGCGGAAGTATTCTACTACGCCGTTCAGCCATACCGAGTAGGACCGCTGAGGAGACGTGACCACTATGCAGTTTGGTTCGCAGCACTGTCTCAATTGCTATGCCTGTCTTGCAACTCATCCATAACTTGGTTAGTTTAATTAATTTCCCTCAAAATTGACCCCTCCTAGGTAAAGTGACTAGTATTTCCAGCTATGACTCTTCCATCCAGGACCCCTCAGCCAAATATGCTGAAAGGCAGGAAGTACCGGAACTGTTGGTGCATTGGTTCTCTAATATTTTCTATTTAAACCATGAAAGGCAACCGTTAATTACCGTCTCCTAGTTGGTAGTCTTGTTACCTTTATCTCGGTTGCAATTTATATTTATTGATTTTCCTTGAAGTTGCTTTTAGGACATCTTCCGTTGCAGTCGACATTTTAGCTTTACTTTGCCCATTTGCACTCTATGAGTGCGAAAACAGCATCGCGCTCCTTCTGCTGTTTTCTTTGGGAGAATATTCTTAAAATACCATCAAATTTTCCCGTGAGATCCTCCTGGACATCTGTTCTTCCTCCTCTTTTGTTTTAGACCTTGAAATGGCCCTTTATAGGGCTATCGCTCCCCTGCTGGGACGCGGCATTTCCAGGCGTCTCCTTCCATCCTGCATGAGGACCGGACACTTTAGTAACGGCCAGTCCAGCGTCTCGAATGAGGCGCCGTCGGAGGCTCAGGAGGCGCAGATAATAGCCTGGGTTCGCTCCATCCGCAAGCACAAAACGCGGTCATTTCTGGACGTCAACGATGGCAGTTCCCCGAAAAACCTGCAGGCGAGTTGATTTTCTAACTGTTTCCTTTTTTACCAGTTGTCAGATTTTGCTGGGTCCGCCTTGTGTATCTTTTTTTTCTTTCAACGTCCAGCCTCATGTGCATACTTTCTTCCCACCTGCTGCTATCACGGTGAGCAGTTGACCTTGGGCCTCAATGTGGCTTTGTATTATTTGCCTTTTGACTTCTAATCATGGTATCCACGACCCTCAGCGTAGCTCGTTTAGCTTTTATTTTAGCGGTCTTTCTTGTAAATTTGAGCCGTTCAGAGCTAGAGATCGGCTGCTTTTGCCTGCCACTTGCACCTTCCGCCTACTGCGTTTTTCAAGGTCTGCAGGAAATTTTACACCCCGGAGTAGATCGACGGACATTTCGCCCACGTCTCCTCACCGTAGTACTTTGCGCCCGTGTGCACCAGATTCACTCCCCGTCTACTGAAGCGTAGTAAACTTATTGATGTGTGGTCCCTCCTCTTTTTATGTCCAAGTATGATGCTAATCGTTACTTTTACGGCATCCCCTTCCAAGCCCACCACCCGGGGAGGCTGAACTGACTGGATATCGGGCTGGAAATGCGCTCACGTAAGTGTGGGCCGAGATGGCCGGAAGGTCAGTTACTACTGGAAGAGTCAGCAGGTAGCATCAACGCCAGCACGAGGTGTCGGAAGATGCAGGCAACTGCGGACACGTGTATGCAGTAAACTTTATAGGATCTTACGTCAATGCGCATCTGAACGAATGTCCAGCCGGTTTTTCTTTATGGGAATGCGTAAACGAGCTTTCGTTGATTCTTCCAAGTCCGGTCATTCGAAGTTCAAGACGCAGTATGCTCGTGCTTGTTCGCTCTGGAAACCGGATCCGTACTGTTGTGGACGCTTGTATGCTAGGAAAAAAATAGTCGATCATAAAAAGAAGTGTGCTCACCAGACCTTTTTTGGTCTGTTTGCTGTCCTCAGCTAACCTTGGCCTAACCCCGTGCCTCCTGATCTGGACTTTGAACAACATTCAGGAAAAGGTGAATGCTATCAGACGGTTGCCTGTCTAACTGAGATGATTGTGTCTGCGAACTCGCCTCCTCGCTTCTATCAACATAATTATATCTCGTGCACATGCTGTACGCCGCTGACTTCGATGTTGGTTGTGAGGTTTGAGTCCACAGCAGCGTTCCCGTCGCTGGTGGATGTTTCGGTAGCACTAACTTCAGTTTTGAAGTACTGCATTAAATTCTAGAGCTTTTTTTGAAATTTCCAGATTACGAGAGATAGTTACAGTTTGGCTTTGTACTTTCTCGTACTGTGGGCATGTAGTATCGCTTTGTCTCGCTTTCTGTCAGTGATTGGTTGCTGCCACCGTAGTATGACATCCAGTGACAAAAGGTGATTTTTCCGGCCGTCGTTATTCATACCAGTACCTTCAATCCTTAATGTACGGCACTTCGACCTTAATTGCCATGGCCTCACAGTCAGCGGTGAGCGCACGACCTAATTTGAACTACGTTCCTGACTTCTTATTAACATTCGGGCTGTAAGCTGATGGACCAATGCGGTTGTCGAAACTAGATGCCGTATTAGTTTGACTCCTTTTTATATGCCCTTAGAACAATCTTTGTTCATACAAAGTCGAACTGATTAAAGTTTGTGTTGTGCGCATCTGGTGACCTACACATCCTCCGTCGCAAACGAAGAAAGACGCCAGCGTCCGTAGACATAGCGATGACTGCGCGTCGCTAAGATTGCAATGCATTCGAGCATCGCATGGGCCTATTTGATCATATGCCTATACACGCCATTGCTCCCTAAGATACGTCCAATCGCTCATGAAGAATTATAGTTAGGTTTACCTCCGTCGGTAATGACGGATAACTTGTCGCGTGTGTCCGTGTCTGAATATGGCACGGTTCAGACAAAGGCTCCGCTCTGTGCCAACCACTGCGTCCGATCTCCTCATCTCCGCCTCCCGGGACTACATGAGGGAGAGAGAGCGAATAGTGCGTGGCCTATTCAACGTGAATCCCCCCGCCCAGTATTCCCACCGTCTCAGTACGCTAGAGTTATCGCCTGCAATACCATTAACTGAGGGATAACTTGGACCTCCTCCGGATTAAGGGTCAGGCTCCATTATGATAAACCACATAAGTGAAATTGGAGACCCTATTAGGTCCTGTTCGTTCGTGCACGCGTGTGAACGCATAGACCAGACTGTTATGGACCAGAACTCATACAGTGGTGGGCATATAACTCCGTTTCATTATTCTCTACGGGCACTCACGATGGACGAAATCAAACGCTGTGGCGAAGCCAACGAACCAAACGGCCGTTAGTTGCCGATAGCTACTGCAGAATTCAAGAATACGCCTTATTGTGACCATCTGATTCCCTCCTGAAGGCCTGCTACACTCCGTGGGGACCAGGTGACGTGCGGCACGCGTAGACGGGCTGTTTAGCGCCGACCAGTCCCCGCACCACACGACCGACTGGCCGGCTAGAACGTGCGAGAGGGAGGAATGGTTTTCACCTGAGAGCCCATCTCTGCGACAAACAAACACTCTCCTCTCTGTGATAAATCTGACGGGGGGGAGATTGCCAAATGATGGGTTAACGTAGCCCTCGTGGCACGCGTAGATGGGCTGTTGAACTTTAGAAGACGAAGATATGATCACTGGAACAGGAAATTTCTTGGCTTGACGTTTCGGATTCTCACTCGAGTCCATCATCAGAGACAGTCCATCATCTGCAACTGTCTCTGATGATGGATTCGAGTGAGAATCCGAAACGCCAGGCCAATAAATCTCCTGTTCCAGTGACCACGTCCTCGTCTTCTGAACTGCTACCTGAAACTCGCCTGTTCGCCTGCTGAACTTTGTCAACCGCTGCGTCTGAACCAACCTCAGATCTTCTTGAAATTTTCTCGCCATCGGAGCCTGGCGGCCGCGGAAGTCTGTCCCAGGGTAATAGAGTTAACGCCCACGTCATTACCGAGCCCTGAGAACAATGGCGGCCCTGGTCGGTCTCTAGGCGTACGGAATTCTTATTGAGAGTTGGTATGGGTTCATTGCATTCCGCAGTTGATGGACGACCACTGCCATCTTAATGCTGATAAATAGCCCGAAGTCGGTGTGCCTGAAGGCAGAGAGCTCTAAGCCTCCGTTGTGTCCGTTTCGGCTGTGGTGTCCGCCGTGTGTAAGCTTTTGCGAATAAAATACCGTGCACTCTAGTTTGGATAATTTTGCCTCGGACTGGGTACGCTGGAGGTTCAAGTTCCCCGCGTGACCTGAACTCTGGCGCTGCTTCCAAAATGCCAATACACGAAACCGAAATATATCCATCGACTTCAGGAGTCCGTGTCATGCAGTCAAATCCTGTCCGATTGAGGCGTTTTACCCTCCTATAAGAGGACCTGTTCGAGTTTTGTTAATAAGCGGGCCATACAATTCTGTTTCTTGTTTTAGGTGGGAAGGTAACACGCATGTGCGAGTAATTTTGCAGTTCGCTCAAGGATCGACGCCTGATGAGTTCGGACTGCCTTTTCAACGTACTGTCCGCAGGACTGTTGTTTCGATGACTCTCACTGGAATGCTACTCTGGGATGGGGACCAAGTGCTTGCGTCCACTTTCAAACCAGCGCAGTGTAAATGATTGCTGCACCGAGTATTCTGATCTATGAAGACTGTGGGGTCTAGTTCACTGGTACTACCCTTGTGCTGGTAAATCTTGGTGATTTATTATCCTCTTTAGGCATCTTTCGCCACTGGCGAAATCTTCGCCGGCCTATTTATCACTACTCCCCACTCTCAACTATTACCAAACCGTAGCCCCACCTCGAGTATGGGATGGGCGACCAACTGGTTACGCGTACATCCACCAGGCTCATGTGAGTGAGGGAAGAAAGGGTGCGGCAAATGCTGCGAAAGCCTTGTGTCACCGTGAGCGGATCCACGCGGATCCCTGCACCCGCCATGCTGTAGGACAAACGGTGCACATCGTGGTTAGCGACAGTCGAACTGTCAGGTGGATATCGTTGGCATGCAAACCTATATCTACCGATTCTGGGTATTTTATGTCTCTGAAACCCCTGTCCACTGGCTCCCGACATCATTGGCGTCCAATCGACCCAAATAACGCTGGCATAAAACTTTTTATGACCCGGATGACTTCTTGCCTCGTTTTCAATAGTTATTTCTGACGTCACTTACCGGATACCGTAGTACTTTAATTAGTTGTCTTTCACTGGACCTGCAAAGTGCATTCATCGACTCCTAGCTTGTTTAGTCGCGTGGCTATACTGGCGAACAACAGCTGGTTTAATACCAAAAGCACTTCTACTTATCTCTATCATGTGTTGTTCGCAATGCCTGATTCGACAAGCTAGCAAAAACCCCTCTGGCTAGTCTCGTCTAACACTGGCAAACTCGATTTTCACATATCCACCGTGCTTTGCGTGCTCTTTTTGTATTCAAAAAAGTTCAACTTTTCATTTAATAAATGTACTGGATTAGTAGAGTCCACGCCCATCTCTAGTCGTTGTGACTTTACTTCTTCTGCTGGAGGACGTTGGATGCGGGATGGGCGGACCCGTCTACTGCCACATAAGCTCCTTTGGCAACAAACAAATTCATGCGTAGGCCATCACTGCGCCCGGGTCCTCGTCTAGTACTGCGAGAGTATTATTACTGAAGCCTTGTTTCCCACCAGTAGTCACCCTAGACTTCTTACAGACAAGGTCACTTTCGGCCAAGTGGTAGGACCCTAGTTC